ATGGACTCTCCCGTCAGTTTCGACGTATGAGGATCTGACAACATAATTGATTCAGTCATGAAATTTTGTGCGATAATCTTAAGTGGCACTAAAGACCCGATAGTGATTTACAAAGGAGGACGCATATGGAGCAAGAGTAAGGATTGTGGGATGAGATTACTGTTAGATTGGCTGACCTTTTAGATCTTGCTCTCGCTTCTTGAAGACGATTCAGACAAGCTGAATGAAAACTGCTGAGTCCACTAAAACACACAAACATATATATATTATATATATATATGATAAAATATAGTCTTAAGGCATGCTCTATTAATGAGGTAAGCAATTCAATATCAGGGATAGAGCGTATCTAAATGTTGTTTTTATATATATATATATATATATATATATATATATATATATATATATATGTGTGTGTGTGTGTGTGTGTGTGTGTGTGTGTGTGTGTGTGTAAAACAGTTCAAAATCCCTCTTCGTCATCTTTTTGCTGATGAACCAGAGTCATCAGAAAAGAATTAGGTTAACCAGCATTTATAATATCTTGGGGATATAAATCATGTTACTTACAGCTGTTTTATAAATCTGTCTTATCCGTCTTATCTATCTGTCTTATAAATATTGATAAATTTTATATCGATTTTACCTTTTAAGTTGAACTTAGACCAGACATATATCAGATAGAAGTCGGTATGAAATCTCGATATCTGAATTCAAAGTTGGCTTTCTAACAACGGAAGTGAAGACAAATCGTTCTTTATTTGGAAATGAAGCCTTAAGTGTCTAGCGGTGTATTGGACAGTTTCGATCAAGAAGGTTTTCTCACGGATATTCATCGCGATCTGGATGACCAATTCCTGTCAATACTAACCTTCAGCGAATTGCAGCAGAGGAAAATCCTAAGAAAAATACACGCGATTTAGAAAAGACACTTATTATACGAGTTACATTTCGACCATGAAACACCTTCATGATCTCAGAAAGGTTTCTCAACTTAATATATCATTTATCACACTATTTACATTATTCAGACTACTGGCCTCATCTTTGTCGCCATATTTATTACAACGTTTCGGTCGTTGTACGCTCCGGCCTTCTTCAGGTGGTTGGAATGTCGAACTGAAACCTCTATTTTGCTCACTGAGGTAGTTTGTTCTAGTTCCACGTGACATGTTTAATGGATGTCAGTTATCAGTTATCTCCTGTTATCTGCAAGTTCTCCATTGCTTTAACCGGGTACTGAGCCCACACTCTTTGGGTCCTGTCATTGGATCTAACCAACGCCTCCATCCACTGTGACATGTGTTCTTGCGAACATCTGTGTATGAATTTCTGGGTATTATTAACCTAATGTCTCAGCAACCGTTTTTACCAGTGCTCATATTGTAATTTTTTGCTGTTATCATTGCATGTTTTTTTACTAGAGCTCATATTTCAATATTTGTTGTTATTATCGCTTTTCTCTGGAACTACTTATAACTAGTTCCCATATTCCAAACACCTCAAGAAAGCCGGAGCGTATAATGGTCGAAACGTTGTAATAAATATGGCGACAAAGATGAGGACAATAGTCCGAATAATGTAAATAGTGTAGATAATACCTCATCCCAGAAATATAGACAGATGATGTCATTTATCAAACCGCCACTTTTCACGTTAAATAACTAATTGGTCTCGTTATTGCAGTGTAGACTTCCTCCTGAAAATTTACTTTTTTGATTATATATTTTATAATTTGAAAATTAAAATGAAATTTCTAGCATTAACTACACGATTATATATATATATATATATATGTGTGTGTGTGTGTGTGTGTGTGCAATATGAGCAACTCTAAATTTCCATAATCAGATCATATATTATTAATTATAATATTGCAATTATTCCTAATAAAACTGCCATTTTTTTATCGAAATTGACATGATTTATTAACCATATAAATATATATAATCACAGTTGGCCAAGTGTTGTATATATTTATCTCCTGTTTGTTCACTGACCGAAATAGCAACGAATTTAGGGTTGCGAATTTGTTCACGTGGACTTGGGTCTTATTCTTTAGAATCATCTTCGAAGCTTCACTTCAAACAAGAGGACATTAAAGTTGACAACATAGGAGTAATGAAACTCTCCAACACAGAATTTTATTACACTATCTATATTGTTCGGACTATTGTCCTCATCTTTATTGTCATATTCACATGGTCCAGTTGAAGTAATCTAATAACTTGAACTAAAGAGTTGTGAGTTCAATCCCTGACCAAAGCAGAGGTGAACAAAAACTTGGAGAGTTGAGTTACTAAAAATCAGAAATCTACCCCGGTTGACTAAATAAAAGATTCGGTTCGAAATTCCAACCTATGACACTTGAAGAAGGCTGGAGCGTACAACGGCCGAAACGTCGTGAATATGACAATATGATGAGGACAACAGTCCGAACAATGTAAATAGTTACAGTACCTCATCTCAGTAATATGGACAACATTTTTTATTTTACTCATTTAAAATTCTCATATTTATTCTGATCGTAATCTAAAGAAATAAGGGAGTACAAAAAATGAAATTCATAACTTTTTCATTGAAACAAATTAAAACATGAGAATGTTAATTTTATAACACAATGAGAATCTCTTATATGTTATCCATGTATTTTATCAATCTTCCCTAAGATGTGTTGCGGACCCTTTGCTTTCATTTTCTCAATGAAATAAACTAAGGAATAAAAAAAAAAAATAATGCGTGAATATATCAATCTGCATAAATTAATAAACATTCCGGAATAAAATGACAAAGACGTCAAAACATGTGTAACTTTAATTAGATGGAAACAAGTAGATTATCTCGTGGTACGAGATCAGAGAAGAGTTCGTGCCAAAATAGGAATGCAAGATGAAAAAGGCGGGAAAAAGAGTTTTACAAGGTTCTGGAAAAAGGAACTCGTTAAACACGAGGTGTATGGTGCACAGATAGAAAGGAGTACTCACTGTGGGTTTTTTTGGCGTTGAGAGTGATGTTATGCATATTTTTAAGGTACTGGTTCAAAGCAGATTAGAGTCCAATGAATTGAGAGTGTATGTGATTTTTGTGCTTTTGTGTTCAGGTTCAAATAATCAGAAGATGTTTATATGTCTGTGACCTAGCCAAAAGGACGAAATAGTTAATCGTCTATGAAGTTAGCCGAAGAATATCTGTTTCTAAGATATTGTATTTACTATTGACTGACGAGGGATTTCATGAATACGAAGTTTTGCCCACGACTGTGTCGTTTTCGAACGTCTTCTGGTCGAAAACGGAGAAGGTCTGACCTGCGGATAGCAAGTTGTTCGTTTCTAGGATATCCCTGTCTGTATTTACGATTGGTTCACTGACGAGGGATAAAATAAGTCACTTGTTGAATAAGTTTTGCTCTGGACTGTGGATGTGTCTCGAACGTCTTCTGGTCGAAAACGGAGATGGTCAAGACGAGAAGAAATGAATCATTGTTGAAATAAGATATTCCGGCCTGCATATGGGTTACGGAATAAATGAGTTGCCCGTCTAGAGTTCTAATTCAAGACGAGAAGAAGTCAGTTGAGGTGTTCGTTAAGATATTCCGGCCCGCATATGGGTTCAGGGCACGGAATAAATGAGTTGCCCGTCTAGTCAGGTCGAAAAACCGTTGAGACGCCGCGAAACGCGCGGGAAAAAATTGAAAATCTGTTAGTCTGACTTCATCACCTAGCGAAGTTCTTCCTCAGGTCTTCGCCTGTGAGAGGAAAGGTAAACGCGCGCACACACGCACGAGTGTGAAAGGAAGGGAGGAAACTACGCGCGCGTAAAAATATAGATGGAATTTATGTTAATTCCATAGATGTTTTGTCCCAGAAATCGTAAAGCCTCTTTCTGATTGTTTCCGTTTCATTCCTTCAAAGCGTTCTGTTTAACATGATCACTATATCAACTGAGAACATTTATTAAGCCCCGGGTGGCTTAATGGTTAATGAATCGATAGAGCCGAGTTCTAATTCCAGATGTGTTCGTTATATTTCCTTACTCGCAAAAACGGTTGACAAAGGTATGAACCCGTGTCTTCGCCAACTATTGGCTAATTAGTTACTTTTATCGCTAAAACATCATTATCTTAACAACAACAACAACATATTACCTGGCTTTAAATAATCTTCAAAGGGTTTTTTTTCCATCAATCTGAAACCTTTTTTTTCTGTAGAACCCCATCTGAGTATTTGAGATGGCAAATGACACGGATAAAGATGCTGAAAGATTTCCAATCTGATTAAGATGTCCTTTCAAAAAAAAAAATCTCTTGCCTGCTCCTTAGGTTCGTTGTTGGGCAGTTGACCAAGAAATAATTTTTCAGTGCCTCCTTGTAAAAGAAATATAACTCAAAAATTGTTAATTACTGAAAATGATGCTTATAATAAAAAAAATAAAATCAAGTGGAGAAAGAATTAATTCCGATATAAGTGTAACATTATTAGAACATCGCATGAGATTAATGTATCTTTCAGAGATAAAAAAAAAGAAGATAACACGTCAATGAGGATTTAAGCCTGAAAGAGATTCGATATGAAGAAAGAATTGTCGAGGCTTTCCTGGTTATAATATGAAGAACAGCCGATGGTGTGGTCAGATCAGACTGAAATAAATCAATAGAATATATCATGACATAATTTGGATCGAAAGAGACGAACCTTGTCGGCATATCTTTGCAAGAACAATATTGATCGGTTATTATATAACCAGATTATAAGCCGGCATCTGCTATTCGTATAATTGCTGGATGGATAATTCAACGAAGAACGTCTTCACTGGAAGAAAAAAGAATAAACTCATATAAGGAAAGAAATGTGCATCAAATTTAAAAGTATCTCATTACGGTATTATCTGGAAGGTTTATGGGAAATCGAATATCTTAAAGAAATAAATTTAATAATTATTTTGGAAAAGCCATGTACATACGCGCGGCGTGCGCACACACGTACACACACATACAAGCACACCAGATGCTCATATCTATCTACTTATCTCTCTCTGATACTCTATCTATCTATCTCTCTATGTGTGTGTGTATGTGTGCGCGCACGTGCGTGTGTGTATAATTCCACCAATCGTTGGCCTGATGAAGTCTTTTTAGAGAACAAAACTTTTTAAACACAATTTTTGTAGTTTTTTTAAAAACTAATACTACGCGTTTCCTTTAATTTTCCCGCAACCATCACAGTCAGCAACTGTATATATATATATATATATGAATATATATATATATATATATATATATATATTTATATATATATATCATTCTTTTTAAATATTAAATATTTTATCTATAAAATAATTCGTTAATCATAAAATGTGTTTATATATCTCTTATCTATTCAAATATATTCGTCATTTGTTTACATTCGATACTATCTATCTATTATGAATCTAGATATCTATCTATCTATCTATCTATCTAAATCTATCTCGTTACTGGTTTATTTTCTGTCTTCACTATTCATCTGTTTGTATATATCTAGGTTCGAATTTCAAAGAATATATCTATCATTTCTATATCATTCTTTCCCGGTAAACGTTATTTACCTTTCTGTTTATATAAATATATATATATATATATATATATAAAATAACAACGTTAAATATAAAAATATATTTATAAATATATATCGGACCTTGTCCATTTCTTAATATATATATATAAATTACAATAAAAAACATTTTACATCGTACACAAAAAATTTCATGTTTCAGTACTGAAATAGTACCCCATCAAGCGATGTTAAATCACTAATGATATAAAAAATTTTGATTTTTCTAGGAATTTCTTTGGTTATTTTATATGTCATATATATCTGTCCATTCCATTTACACCCCACCACCGATACTTATCTTCTTTCTCTCCCTTCTTCTCTCCTTCTTCATTCCTCCGTTTCTTCAACGTCGTTCATTTTTTTTTTTAAATCAACACCCAACGTCGTTTTTTAATTTTTTTTTAAATAATGCATTAAGTTAATAGCTCTACATGTTATTTTTACATTTGTTTATATTTTTACATATATGGATATATATATATATATATATATATACTACTGTTTCCTGGTCTGATTCAATATCTGACCATTAACATATATATATATATATATATATATATTTATATATATATATTATATATATATATATATATATATATATATATATATATATATATATATATAAATATATGTGTGTGTGTGTGTATGTGTGTGTGTGTGTGTGTGTGTGTGTGTGTGTGTGTGTGTGTAAGCAAAATATATGGATATAGATCCGATAGTATGAAGAAAAAATATATACGGAAAAAACAAACAAAAATCCTTATATACAATTATGCTGTTTTAATGTTAATATGTCAACGTCGGTCATGTTGTATTGATAATGTTATAATTTATGAATATGTCCTGAAGATGGTTTATTAGACCGAAACGTCCGACGTTGACATATTAACATTAAAACAGTATAATTGTATAGGGATTTTTGTTTGTTTTTTCCGTATATATTTTTTTTTCATATATATATATATATATATATATATATATATATATATATATATACAGGAGGCACGGTGGAGTAATGGATAGCGGCTTGAGAGCCAAGTCGAATCCATTATGTGCTAATATCCTTGGGAAATGTGTGAATCCTCTTCTTTCATGGGTAAATAGCATAACAGACTGGGTTCTATAACCTTTAATGGCAACTGGTCTAGGAGAAGGGAATCTCTGATTTCAAAACCTGGGGACCTTGTGGCACCAGGTCTCTGTATTAGGCCCTTCAAAGCTTGTGAATGGTCCAGCACGGAACCTTCACCACTGTAATCAAATTTCGTGTGGTGTTGTCGGTGTCCTGGGAACTGATCATACGTCGAATTCGACGAGAGACTTGACTATATATACACCACACAAGGTATGCATAGATATAGAAATTGTAAACACATACTGCACACGGGTACACAAACATGTACACACACACACAACTACACACAAACATATATATTTGTTTATATACCTCTTTGATAGAAGATTCGTTGAACAAGCCTGACAAGGTACTTTTGTTTATTTTTTTTATTATCTCTTTTTTGTATTAATTTAGAAATTAAGAACTCAGAAAAAGTGATACGATTTATTATTGCGGTACAGAAAGAATAATCCTTAAAGTGTCTCGTCGAAAGCGCTTGGAATCAATAACATTTTGAATAATTTATAAATTTATAAAGTCCATAAAAACACATTATCGCATACAAGGAATATATAAAAACTAAAAATATAAACTAACTTGTGGGCCTTATTCAAAGAATATATATATATATATATATATATATATAGAGAGAGAGAGAGAGAGAGAGAGAGGAGAGAGAGAGAGAGAGAGAGAGATTTTGACGCCAGATCGAATTTTTTTCTGTTTTTCTAACTTTAAGATGTTTATTAATATATATTTATATATTTTATATATATATATATATATAAAAGTTTCAAATTAAAAAATAATAATGTTTATTTTATGAAAATTTATTTATATATATATATATATTTTATATATATATATTTATATAAATAAATTAAAATTACTGTGAGAACGTCACGTGATATTCTTTTGAGAACTTCGTTGTTTACTTTATAAGTTTATAATATATATTTATATTTGTACATTTCACTTAACCCCCAACCCACCGATACTTTCATAATACCCGTGGTTTCCTTCTGTCTCTACTTTTTCTTCTTCCTTCTTCACACTTTCCTCCTCCGTTTTTATCACAACCAACGTCATTCATTTTTTTTTAATAAAACTTTAAGTTAATATGTTATTTTTTACATTAGTTTTATTATTTTTATATGTGTATTGAGCACTTTTAACACTACTGTTTCCTGGTCTGATTCAACTTTGACCATTAATATATATATATATATATATATATATATATATATATATATATATATATATATATATATATATATATATATATATATATATATATATATATAAACACATACTGAATATAGATCATTGACCGTGAAGAAATTGCAAGGACATTTATAGATTTGACCATCGTTTATTTTGCCATCGTTTCTGTTTCTGGTAGTTTGCATTTGCTTTTGCTTTATTTTTTAAGGCTTTTGCATCTGCAGTCGTTGTATTATGTTTTACTTGCATTTCTTCACCCACTTGAAACTCCATTTTGAAACTGTTGCCTTCTTTTATGACTGAATAAAGATTCTTACATCTTTCATGTTCTTTGATACGGATCATCATCCAGTCTTTTGTAGCTTCCATGTAACTTTGAATGCCGATTATTGTTGCAAGACAATTCTAGTTGAACTAATCCTCTGGTGCCTTCCGATTTTGGTACATACAGATGATCAACATCAGGCTTGGGATAAGTGGCCAGTGAGAAGCTTTCACGTTTTGGCGTCCATTCTAACTCTGGTCCAATGAAGGATGTTTAAACTGTATTGAACTACGGGAAGAGCCAATGTGTTTATGGCTGATATTCTTTTTTTTAATTCAACTAGGTACTCAATAACAGACTCACAATCATTTGTATTATTATTATTACTATATCCTTTGATTTTTTTTGTATACGCATTTCCTTCAGGGTCCCAACCGGAGATCTAAGGTCAGAAATGGTTTCATGACATTTTCTATTGAACTTATTGGTAAAAAGGAAAATAAGATCACACACATTGTAACATAGATAAAATTCTCCGTAATGTGTGAGTTGTACGTGTGAGTAATTTTTTTTTTTATTTCTTAAGGCATGGCTACAAGAAATCTCTTCAGTGAGTCTACTGGAAGCTTTTGCAATCAAACCGAGGGCTCCAAATACAAGTGAAATTATTGACGTTCTCATGTGCCATAATTCTTAGATTTCCACTTCAAGATCCTTGTATATTAGGGTTTTTTTTAAGTTCTTCAAAGATACATTACAATCTGCAGGGAATGTCATGTCAATAAGAAAGCAGATTCTGTTTTTGAGGTCTTTTATCACGATGTCTGGGTGATCAACTTTGATTGGTCTGTCTGTGTGTTTTGTAAAATCTGAAACAATTGTGAAGCTCCTAAATCTGTAACCGGGTCTGTGTGGTGTTCATACCAGTTTCTTGCAGTTTACGTCCTATAAATATTACACATTTCCAGTGCAGATATTAGCCTATTCAGAGTTTATATCCAGTGAATGCTAATAACGTGCAACCTGTTACAAGATGGCCAATTGTTTCTGGATATTTATCTCACAATCTGTACTTTGGTCTAACACAAGTTTCAGTATGTGTACTTGGGAATTTCTAATTAGCATACACTGACCCTGTGCTGCAAGAATATAACCTTCGGTTTCAGCTTTTAACCCTGAACTACGTTACCACTGATAGGTACGGGGGTTTGTCTACATCAGCTTGTTTGACACGAGCAGAATATTGACCATTATTTTGATCATGATTATCTTGTCATCGTTTCTGTATTTGGTCCATTGTATTTGCTTTCATTTTAGGCTCTTTGCCGTTGAATGTTTATTGTATACTTACTTGCACTTGTTCACCCACTTGAAATTCAATTTTGAATTGGTTAGCTTCTTTTATTATTATTATTATTATTATTATTATTATTATTATTATATCTGAAGCATTATACGTAATGTTATTGGAAAAAACACAATATAATCATCTGCAATCTTTTTTCTTCGTTACACATTTCTAAGCATTACTTAGGATATATGGTTGCGGCATTATATGCTGTGTCTGTTTCATTTTAGCGAAGCCGATATCATATTAGTGCTGAAATTGATGACAGCTAGACAGCGATATAATCCTTAATCCTCTTTCTGACGTGTTTTTACTAACAAAACGCTATTTATGTTGACAAGATTGCAATAGAATTATTTTAAGTACGTCATACGAAGGCTAGTTGTTTTCGGAAAAAAAAATGATTTTTCATCGCTCAATAACAAATGAATTATCCTGAAGGAGATGAACCTGTTATAACACACACAAAAAAAAACATTAACAAGTCTCTCTGCCTTTTTACTTTCCCCCTTTTTTTCTGGAGGCACTTGAATGTTTCCAGTAGAACTTATCTGATTTTTTGATCAAAAATAGAGATGATCGGTTGTCGATGTTTGCAAAACCTTTGTCATAGGATTAATTTTAGCACAAAGAAATGAATGTGTTTTAGACAACGTCATTTATCGGAAAAAATACTCTGTAGATATTGACTAAGCCATACTTTTTTAGGCACCCGTCCAAAATGTTTAATCTGATACACAGACATAATATATCCCTGGGTATGATGATAAACTGCATCGGACAGCAATGCTTCTGAGCGGGTGGTTTTGAGGAGCGTGAAACCACCTCTTAATTCTTTGTGTTTCTAGGTTTACCCTAATCTAAGAGTCGTCAAACTGGTGTCAAAGCATGAAAACATAAAAATACATTAGAAAAAATTACCAGCAACACATTTTCAGAGTAAAAAAAATAAAAAATTACCAGCAATACATTACTGGTAAATACTTACCTGCTCCAGGGCTCCGTCACTGTGCTGGTGGTATC